AATAATTATAGGAAAAATATTAAATCAGCAATTATTTTATTACCCTTTAAATTGATTTCTGGAGATTATCCAAGGTGCTTCTTGACCCATAATTGGGTCCCAAGCCCAACTTTGGGAACCAAAATGCAGTAGTTCCCAAACCTTTCAGCTTTTGACCCACAAAATAACAGTAGCAGAGACCTGTGCCCCAAACTATTTTTGGATGATAACCATTTGTATCAGGTCAACAAAACATGGGCATAGTAACAATATTGTTATACTACATTTGTCCATTTTAAATATACTAACCCCACTCCTTTGTAACAACTAAGGCAAAAATGTAATTAATTCAGAAGATCTTTTCAGGACCCCACCTTGAAGTTTTGGGACCCCACTTTGGGTCCCGACCCCAACTTTGGGAAACACTGCTCTAAACAACCCAACTTGAAATGATCATTTTAATGTCAGAAATAACACAAAGCCAAAGAACTACCAACGAAATGTACCCAAACTATTTCACATGCAAACCCTATCCCCAAAACCTTGTGTAGAATAAAACAAAGCTCATAAACCCATATTTTATTCACAGTGGAACATTGCAAACATAGTAAGTGCTGAGTATACCAGCTATTGATACCACATCTGATGCACTACAGAAGAAAGTGACTATTCAGTCTGTTATCAGCACACAGTAAAGAAATATCTGCGTCTTTAATGGTATGGGGGTGCATTATTGCCATGGAACAGGCAGCTTACACATCTGAAAAGACACCATAAATGCAGAAAAGTATATCTAAATTTTAGAACAACATGTGCAAAAGAACCAGCAAAGAGCCAGACTTGTTGAAAAGCTTGTTTTCAGCGTTAATACAACTGATGTTTCATAGTGAATAAAGTATGGTTTTAGGAGGTTTGCAGATCATTGCAATCTGTTTCTATTAACATTTTACAGAACATTCTGGTTGTGCCAGAATTCAGGATGTACATCATGCATTTGACACGTGCAAAAAGTGAAACAAAGTTTTAGGAAGTTTTTATTACACCCACCTGTCTTTGTCATCTTTACCAACCAATGAGTCTCGTTTGTCAGAGTCTCGGTCCCGGTCATGTGAGCTGACTGAGGCGCTCCTCTCAGAGTCTCCAGGCTTTAGCCAGGGAGGCGGCGTGGGGAAGGAGGGCGGTGTGCGGTGCAGGCGGTTCCATGGCTCCTGATGGTTGCTGTTCCCACTGCTGTTAAAGTGCTGCGGCGTATTGGGGCCATCTTTGTGGCCGAACACCGAGTTGGCCGCTGGTAGGGATTCAACACGTGGAAAAAGAACAGGACGCAAGTTAAATGCGTATCTCAACAGTTTGATGCAGTGTTTCCACTGATATTGACCCAATGGGATTATCTTATAGTATTTATGAGAGTTTAGTTTAAAAATAAACAAACATACAAAAACAACAGTTTCATACATGAAGATGAAACTCACTGAGTGCTGGATTTCCTAGACCCCCAAAGGCTGACGAACTGAGAGATCCCAGTCCTCCAAATGATGACGGCCTACCAAAAGGCTCTGAGGACAGACACATAATGTTAGTGTCAGTTCACATCTAAATATTTTCACTTCCTAAAAGTAAAACACTCATTTACCTAAGTGTGATGCTGGGGTAAGAAAGTTTCCAGGATGATGGGGTGGATGACCAAAAGCAGCAGCTGATGGGTGTGTAGGACCTGTGGAAGAGACGACCCCAGACTGTGATATTACCAAGAGATTTCTGACATTAAGAATATTTTAGTCAACATCTCTTCCTGGACACGCTGAGGAAACATCTGTAGATGCTGATAACCGTCAGTCTTTCTGTGGAAATCTCACACGGACTCACCTGTGGCAGAGAAGAGCGTGGCGGGCCGAGCCAAATCACTGGGATGATGGATGGCTCCAAAGAGGCTGGGGCCTGGAGGTCGACTTAGAAACTCGGGCTTGAGGCCAAAGTCTAGCTTGTGAGGGTCGACCTGCATCTGCTGCTGGAAGACGTCAGAGCAACACAGGAACACATGTAAAACTTGATCCAGAGACTCATTGTATGCTTAAAAAGTGACTCCACTCGATTAAATTTAAAAAGCAAGTACACTAAAGAAAATTAAATTGTAAACCTCAAGGAGTCCTGCTAACTGATGAAGTTACCACCAACTACAAAGTAAAATCCATTCAAAAGGTATAATAATAGAAGTCAAACTGTTTCACTGACATTTTGTAATTTTAAAGTTTCTTTGAAATCTTTTAATTATTGTTAACAATGCTCTTTTAAAATTCTGGAAAACATCATGTGTAACCAATCAAATATATTAAATTCCACAGTCCTCCTAAGGCTTAAATATGAGGTTTACCTCATTCAAAGGTGTAACTATAATTGAAAGGGTTATGCTTTCTGCCTATTTATTTATCTATTCAATGATTTACTTTTGTAAAACAATTCAAGATTTTTTAGGGTTAAAATACATTGTAATGCTTTTATACTTTGATTTACTTAACTTTCCTGTTTTCTTTGTCAGCATATTTTCTGTTCCAAATGAGTTCAACAATTAAAAAAAACATTTACTTTTTTCCTGCCTATTTTTCCCCAACATTAACATATTTAACATTTTTTGAATGTATTATTATTATTATTATTATTATTATTATTATTATTATCCAGCATACCTAAATTTCTCAATTTTCCAAGAGTATGTATTTACCTGGTGCAGTACAATCTAGCTAGGAAAAATTACCACATGATTCAACAAATACATAATGCCATAATGTGGCAAGAGCAGACTAAAACCCTGCATGTCATTTTCATCAGGTATAATTAAAGGTACATATATGACATTGTATATTTTCAGGTCAAAGTTTCCAAAAGACATCAAGAGAGTTGCAGCTGTGTACTTAACCAGGTAATTTCTATTGTGTTAGAGCAAATCATGTCATTTTATTGGATGGGTGGGTGTGGGTAAGGTGTGCTTATATTGATTGGATCAAATTATTGTGGGGGTCATAACCCCCCCAAATTACACCTATGATCTCATTTATAGGACTAAATGTACTCAGGTGGTGCTTGTTGCAGTTAGTTGAGCTTTGCTCCTGTTGTCAGGGTGTGTTCAAATTTAAAGGCTAGACTTGTAGCACAGAGCTCCAGTTTATCTGTGTCAGTGGGCAAATAGGGCCTGACTGTCTTTTTTTTATATTTAAGGTAATAGCAAAGTTTGGCTGACAGCATCAAGAGTTAAAGTGGCTTCGATACAAGACAGAGTGAGATGTTAGATGAAGCCTCACCTTTACTTTCTGTTGGTGGTGGTACGTCTGCCAAGCAATATGAACGTGCATGGCACACCACTTTCCTGGTTTCTGGAAGAAAATGACAAAGCCTTTTTAGTGATCAACATGAGTCACAGTAAAGTCATTTAGGACACAAATTTACAGCAGAGATAAACAGAATGTTGGGGGAGGAGGCAACCTCGATAAAAGTAAAGTTCTGGTAAAAAAAAATTAGACTGAAAATGCTAAAAGTTATTTAACAAATTAGCAAATGTAACCTTTTACAACCAATTAGGTTGATTAGCAAAATGTCTAACATTTGTATATACAGACCTGAGTTTTGAGATTTACAAATATTCAAAGAATCACATCACAATAAAGAATGAGCTGATCTAACCATAACTTTCAAAAATGAATGCACTACAGGAACTGTCTATTAAAACTGTGCATTAAATGAGAAACAAAGAAAAATACTTCAGTCTGAGAAGTGGGCTTCATTTCTTCTGTTATGTTATTTTAAAGTGCTACAGTTATAATTCATGATTTAAGTCATGGTTTTAAATATTTTGAATGAAATAAACATAAAATTACCAACAACATGAGGCAGTCCGATGTATATGATACTTTATTTTCCATGAGCAGCAAGAAATATTTTATCTTTCAGAGTTTTTCATTAAAGAAAAATAATTAACATTATTTATCTAGAAATAAACTTTAGAGTGATCATATTTAGTTTTGTGCCACATAACCATTGAGTTGTGCTCAAGTCTCTCTCATGAAGAAAGTCCTGCTGTTATGAAGATGTGACTTTTTTATTTTTAGAGAAAATTAACAGAAAAAGGGGCAGCATGTTAAAGGGATCTCTAATTCAGAAAACTAACATAATTTGCTCTTGAGCAGGTTGGGTTTCCAAATCCTAATTTTCTTTATGCTGTTGTTCATATTATATTTTAAATGCAACAGTCATGATGTGGGAACTCTATGTGGTACTGATGTGACCTGAAGAAAACGTGACGTCACACTCAGCACACTGAGATTACAGAAGTAAACATGGATGCTGCACGTGTTAGCATGTGTGGCTTGACTCTATAGTTGTTGTGAAAACAGAGCCAATGAAATTATTTTCATTTCCTTTTTTATACACAACAGAATTTCCATTATCTCTGTCATCCAGTTATCTTTCGGGTGCCGGGGGTGCTGCTCCTTGTCTTGTTGAAACACAATTGTCTAATTTGCAAGAGAGACCTGTTATTAAATTATCATCTGCTCTGCTTGTTTCGTCCGCAGTTTACAATTACATCTGCATCTTGCTGCTACGACAGCACTGATCTTTGCTTTTGGATCAGGAGTGACGTGCTCCAAGTGAAAAAATAAAATATGTGTGCCATGATTTTGTTATTAGTGGAGGCTGTGTCTCAATTCATGGGTTGCAACCCATGTACTCCACGGCCGATGGTACTGTAGGATACTCAGATGTAGCCTACGTTTTTCGGAATCTGTCGGCTGCAGGAATAGGTGCCTACAAATTGGGACAGCCTACGGCGTGGGGCAGGGGTGTAAGTGGCCGACAAATGCTGCCGACGCCGGCTGCAACCCATGAATTGAGACACAGCCACAGTCTGCCATAAATGTTATGTTGCTGTGGGTTCTCAGTCATCAAGGACTTGTCAAAAAAAAAAGTTAAAAGACGAACCGATTGAATTTCTGTTCTGTAGCTGAAGATGTGGTGAGTTCCAAGATTTACACATAGGTTGTTATCATAATTCTAAAGACTTGGATTGATCTGCTTACTCCCACCTCACTGACCTAAAAGTCTGATTAAATGTGACATGACATGATTTGTCATGTTCAGAGTGTCATGAAAATTTCCTATAGCGGCCATGTTTGCCTGCAGTAAGAAGGTAGCCTCAGACACAAACCCTGCAGTACAGGCCTCTGGTGTGCAAGGTAGTGTTGAGTGTGGTATTGAACGCAAACGAAAACAATACAACTTGGACTCGTAAAAACATCTTGTGTTTGTGTCCATATGCTTCAGAAATAGAGAATTAAAGGCTATAAGCCAACAAACAGAATCAGTCAGGGTTGACTTGATGTGGCATTATATGACAACAGTCCACAAGTGCAGAGAATCTGTCTGAAAACAGCTTTTCTAAATTATGTTTACTAGCCCCAGCCTTCAAGTGTACTGCTTATTAAAGATAATAAAGTATTAACAAAAAACCCTTGAAGGCATCATGGCTGTTACAGTGTGTGAGGAAAGACAAGACTGACAGACTTACCCTCAGGATGGGCCGAAATGGATCTGTTAGCTAAAAGAGGAAGGAAAAATGGTTATTTAGATGTTAGTCACATTAGTTACATTTTCATCATTTTGTCTGGAAATCAACTACCAATGATTGTGTTGAATGAGAAGAGGTAAAACTAGTTGTGTCATGTAGGATTTCTTTATACATCTGCAAGGCATGACAGAACTGGTGATAAAAATACACATTAATACTAAATACTGTAGTAAATGTGTAGTAGTCACAGTATATAACATTTTTACACATAGAAAATACAAACAATTGTGATAGAAAATGATAAAACGGTTATTTTAAGATCAGTTTAAGATCAGTATTGTGGACATGGATGCTAAACAGTGTTCTATTTGTCTTTGTGTAAACTGTATGCTAAATGTTTGTGGTAACACAATTTAACACTGAAATATTACAATTTTGTGACTCTGACTGTGAATGTTTGTTGTTAGCATTTTCTCACCCTGGGATCCTTCTGTAAAAATGTCTGTGGGATGGCTCCAGGTCTGGTGGACACATCCAGAGGATTGGAGGTCTGCAAGCAAAAGACAAGTTTAGAAAAATACTAACAAGTTTCAGTGTGTGTCTCTGAGGCTGAATTAGTAGAGTCTTACCTTGGGCTGAAAGGCCCCCTGCAGTGAGCTGAAGGGTCCGGTCGGGGGAATGACTGGAGGAAGACCAGACATGGCTGGTGGGTATGAGTGGAAGAGCTGAGGAAGACAAGACAGAGAGAGGAAGAGTGAGGATTGTTGGATGTTGTCAATACTTGAAGACAGGAGCTACATGAAGTGGTGCAGATGGTGGAAAACTAGAATTCCAACAGATCTTCCCAGGGCTGCGGAGAGTTACGAATGATGTTTCACAAACAGTTTTTCCACAATTGTCTATTTTTATTTTGGTTTTAAATATGGAAAACCATCCTTAGGTATGGAATACAGAATGTTGTAATTGTTGGGTTGCAGATGACGTAGTATTGATGTCACGAAATGCAGATGGGGAGCAGGAAGTAAATGCAGCCCTGTTTCTTTCAGTTGATTCAGCGTCAAAATGCCTAAATTCTGTGCTGTGTACGGTTGTTATGTGGTATCTAGTAGTGGAAGGAGAGTGGAAACGGAGGGGAATCCAAATGTCCAGTGATGACATTTTTGTTCAGGTCAGTAAGCACATTGCCAACTCCAGTTTGCAAGAAGCTTGAAGATGGGGTAGATTTAAACTTAAAAAGTCACGCTGAGCTTCATGAATATACTGTCCATTCAGTTGAAAAGTTGCAAAATAACATGAAGAAGTTGCAGGACTCAGACCTGAACTCACAATGAAAACTAGCTCAGCACATCAGTCAACCGCAGTGCAAAGCAAGAGAAAAGAGGCTCCAGTCATAAAAGCAGGCATGAACACTGCTGTGCCTGGATCTACTGGGACACAAAGGCAGGTTCCTCAGGCCGCAGGTCCATTGAGCCCACATCCACGTGTCATGAATGTCTATGCAAGCCATCATGATGGACAAAGACTTGGTGGACTGAGAAAGCCTTCCCACTAACAAAACTGGAGAATACGAAGGCATGAGGGTTTGGGACCATGCTGGAGCTGTGGACAGATGGGCCATTACAGAAGCTGTGGAAACCTGACCCCAAACCCTGCCTGGGCTGGCCGTGGCCGGGGGATGAGATCCGGTCAGGAGAGGCCCAGTGGTCCCAATCCATTTGCAAAACGACAAGGATTCTAGAGAAGCCCAGAGAATCCCATTATGAGGTGTGAATTACTCATTTTAACACAAAATTCAGATGCTGAAATAATATAAAGTTTAATTGGAAAGAAAAATCTGTATTTGTTTACAGGCACAAAATCAAACCACGTTAAACAGTTCAAAATGCCAGATAACTGCGTCAAGATGGTGGGATTCAATAAATAATTAAAAGAAGCAAATGAGTCAAATGACCACCCCACTGGACTTAACAGTAAATTAAACCAAAATTAAAATACCAATCTGATTGTACTTCAGCTAATTTTAAAGGCATTATGCAAAATGAAGTAAAAATCTGGTGCTCACCACAATGAGTATACACTGACAGTTCAGGAATAGATTTTCAAATGTATTAGTATTGTATAAAGTACCACAAAGGGATACTTGAGTGAAAGTACAAGTAGCTTATCATAGGATTACTTTGGTAAAAGTACAAGTCTTAAAGTATCTGATATTTTTGTACTTACGTATCAAAAGTAACCTTCTGATATAAAATGTACTTGGGTATTAAAAGTAAAAGTACTGAGGAAAAACGAGTGGTTAGATTTTCCATAATGACATTTATTGGGAGGTGACCTTCCCAAAACATTTTTCTAAAGACTGAAATGACTATGTTGTATTAAAATATTCATTAAAAATACATAAATACGTTTTTACATACATCTTTGTACTAGGCTACATATGTCTGCTGTGGCCTGCTAGAGTATGACATACTCTATGTCACGTGCAACACCGACGTATTGTGTACAAACAAACAGTGTCTGAATTGTATATATTTATACTTCACATTCAACCACAATTAAAATTCACTCTATCGAGGAAGTGCAATTTATATAGATAGGTTTTCTTTTTATAATCCATCCATCCATTATTTATAACCATTTATTCCTTTTCTAGGGTCACGGGGGTCACTGGTGCCCATATCCAGCTGTCACAGTGCGAGGGGCGGGGTACACACTGGACAGGTTGCAAGTCCATCTTTTTATAATAAAAATTCAAAATGAAAATAAGAAAAAATGAGATTGGAGTAACAATTTTCTAATTCTTGCCTTAAAGAAAAATGTAAGGAGTAAAATGTACAGATAACTGCGTAAAATATAAGGAGCATAAGTAAAAAGTAGGTTGAAAAATAATTACTCAAGTAAAGTACAGATAAATAGAATTTCTACTTTACAAAGTATTTGCACTTAGTTACTTTACAACTCTGAAATGTCTGCTCAAACTGAACATGCAAACATTTATCGGCTTGGAAATATTGAAGAACCAGTAGCTAGAATCTTCTATGAAAGGGAAAAATACATTAAAGTATAGCTTCTAAAAATCAATGTCACCAGCAAGTAATTATCAGTAATAAAACCTAAAAGAAATTGCCATAGTGTGCGGCGCAGAGGTCTGACATGTCAAGGGTTAAGCAAAGTAACATTGCAGCTGATGAGACAGTCAAAGCAGTCACGTCAGACAAAAGTTAAGAATTAAACAACACCTTGGAGCTGTTTATCATCCACAGAGCCCAGGAATTTGTAAAAAAAATGAACGTGTTGAACGTGTTGAAAAACTGCCTGGTCATATAAGCTGAAAAACTGGCACTGTAAAACCATTTATACCATTTAACTAAGGTTGTTCTAACTAGGTAACATAATGCATACTGTGTTTAAACAATAGATGAAACTTTTAAATTTTGTAACATTTTTTTCTTGTTAAGAACTGTGTGGTGCAATAATTTTGAAAAGAGGACATCTTTCTGCAAGACAAACAAAACATCTAAAAGATTCAACTAACAAAACAGGAGACGGCATCACAAACAATCAACTTGCAAACTTTGTAAATCTTATGCATTGCACTTCCAGCAGGGTTTCAAAAATTAACGTTATTTAGAGCTATAGAGTAGAATACTGGATTTCTACAGAAGCTACTGAGAAGCAGATGAGTGACCACACGGAATGGACCGCGCGCGCACACACACACACACACACACACACACACACACACACACACACACACACACACACACAC